GGTCACTGGTCGTCCAACTGGCAACGGCGGGGCTGCTAGGACTTGTGCACTCTTCAAACTTTCTCTCTTACCCTCTATTTCTCTCAAATTCTCTTTGAATCTCTCTCTCTCTCTCTCTCTCTCTCTCTCTCTCTCTCACTATACTCTATTTTTTTTTACCTAACCCTCTCTCTCTCTCTCTTCTGCCACTTATATAGGAGCCGCGGGCAACCTGCCCCGCCCCTAAAGTCGTCGTCTTAATGGCCCTGTGCCGGCCTAGCCTGGGCCACGACTTTGGTGGCCAAGGTTGCGCGATTGAGCGAATAATCCGTGTCGTCCCAGGCGGCCGATCGGGGAAGGGGAGAATAAAGGAGAGAGGAGGAAAGGAAGTAGGCTGGGCCCGTGTGGGGGCGGAGAAAGGGGCCGGATTGGGTCGGATCGGCTCTCACACGGGAGAAAGAAAAAGCTGGGATGGGCTGGGTCAAGCCTAGTCCCACACGAGAAGGAGAAGAAAGGGCCGGGTCAGGCTGTTCCTGACCCGGCCCGATCCGATTTTAATCTTTTAATTTTTTTTAATTTTTTTAATAATAAATAATGAAAAAAAATTTAGTTGGTGCAATTAATTTAAATTTACCTAATGTCTACATGCAATGCAATTAGATAAAAATATATATTTTTATTTTTAGGAATTAAAGAAAATTAACTTCTAAATTTTGCATGATTAATTTTGGGCAATTAAAAAATAGGTGTCAATAATTCATAAATGAGGGGTTGTTGTATTGGTGACTTGACACCTTCTAATTCTAAGAAAAAAAGATTTGAAGGAAGCCTTGGAAGAGATCGAGGATCATCACAAAATATGGAAAGTTCCGTAAGCTAAAGAGGCAATGTGAGAGATCGAGGATCATCACTAGATATAAAAAGTTTCGAAAGCTGAGGAGGCCGTGTGATATCTATATTTCTACAACCGCGGTGTCCAATCGTTTCGAGATTCTCCAACATCCTATGGTCTTTGGCAGCTCTCTTATCTTACTCCCGTCCATAAATAAGCCCTTCAGCCTTTGAAAGATATCCAATAGAAACAGGTAGTTCTGTAATCTTCGTATTCTTTAAGCATAAATGGAGCAATGATTCTAGTCCTCAAATGGAGTTTGGCAGTTCCCTTGTCTAAGTGGAGCTCAAGTGCATTTCCTCTAACATTTTGAGATCTCCAATAGAATCAGGTAACTCTCTTATCTTACTTGGAAAACGTAATTAAGCTCCTCAGTCTTTTAAGATATCCAAAAGAAGCAGGTAGTGTTGTAATCTCTGAAAATTGCGAGTCTAAGTCAAGCAATGATTCTAGCCCTCCGGTGGAGTTTGGTAGCTCCTTTATCCGATTGTATCCCAGGTTCATTTCTTCCGACCTTTTGAGATCTCCAATAGAATTAGGTAACTCTCTTATTCTTGTGTTGAACAAATTCAATACGAGCAACAATCTCAATTTCCCAATGGAGTCTGGAAGCTTTCAAAGCCGATAACAATCCATTAAAGACAAGCACGTCAAGCTCGCCAACTCTCCAATAGATGGATGAAGCTCTCGGATACACTGCCCCTCCAGCTTTAGACTTGACAAGTACTTTAGACCACATATTGCAGAAGGCACTGCGCACAGGTAAAAGTTAGGGCTTGCGGACAACAATGACGGCTGAAATTGGGCCACAATTAATTCCAAACACTTTAGGCGCTCTAGCTTACAGATAGAGCTACCGAATTGTGGCAACTCTAGACTATGTTTCTCAAAAACCAGTATCTTCAAATTCAAGCATGTCGAGAAGTCGGGAGTTGTCGAGAGATGGCATCTCATGAGATGAATAACTTTCAAGTCACGATTTGCTTGCGAAACAAGTTAGCATTAGAAAATTAAGGCAAGGCAAATGGTAACAAACCTATATATGTGATACGTGACCATACCAAGCATGGCCTCCATCCGTTCCAGTTCTTCAGAATTTCACTGTCTAAGAGCTTGAGCATGACTAAGTTCCATAAACATAGATTGACTGCTGGCAAGTCTAAAGGACAACAACGCCAAGGGAGCCATCTTAAACTTGAGAGAAGATTTTTAAAGTCTCCTACCAAGTTCCCCCCCTCTTATTCTAAGAACCTTAAGTTAGGCAGCCTTGAAAACTCTTCACTTGTAAAGTCGTGCTCTTTGGAAAGTCTAGTTAGCTTGAGTGCTGTGATGTTCTATGTTCCCTGACGACATGAAAAAGTATAAGTGAACTTTCTACAACGAAAAAAAGAAGAAGGCATTCCGTTAGTAAATATTGCGTACATGTTCTATAAGTAAACTACTCTGTTAATTGATAGAATTTATCACATTACCTTCATTCCACTCCAATTAAACAAATTAATTTTCTGCGATGCACAACACAGACAAAAATACACATCCAGGAACATACTCTAAACTTTGAGCTGATGTTTCCTAGATGGAGAAGATAGTATCTGTGAATACAATTTACCTTTCTGGTCTGCACTACATCCAACGCAATCTTGTGACCCCATAGTCTACTATGCTTCCAGGAACTTTGAGATCTTCTTGTCGAACAATTTCCCTTCCAAGGTCTTTGAGCAGGTCATGCATTAATAGTCTATCATTATGATCAATCTTTATCAAAGACATACAGGTAAGGAAATTGATATTACTTCTTGGGAAAAAATCCAACGCTTTCCACATATAATATGGATGGGTTCTTTCTTCACCAATAAAGTAACATGCAATATCAAGAAAATTTTCTCTTTGTACATCCTCTAGCATCTCAAAACTAATCTTTAATTTGTATAGGACATCTTGATTGGGACCTGAATCTAATTTCTTCAACGTGTCTTTCCAAATTGGTTTGCTTTTGCAATAAAGAGAGGAACTAATAACCTTAAGAGCCAAAGGAAGTCCACCAGCTTTGCAAATAATATCCTGAGAAATTTCATAGAAGTCGTGTAGAGGAGAATCAGTTCTGAAAGCATGCTTACTAAACAGTTGAAGAGCATGGCGATGGCCCAATTCTATCATTTGATAGATTTTAAACTCTTCGAAACGTGTTTGGATATTATTTTCTCTATTCTCCTCTACGATTGGCAAAAAGTTGGTGTCCCTCATTGTAATAATAATTTTGCAAGTTTTGAGAGTTGGTTCCACTCATTTAGGTCATCAAGAACAATGAGTACTTTCTTGTCACGGAATCTCCTCTTGATTTGGTTAATCCCCGCATCACAATTAGAAATCTCCACTTGACTGAAGTTAAGAATTTCTGACAATAATTGGTTTTGCAATTGAACCACTTTGCTGCCCTTTGAAGCTTCTCGAACATTCATGAGAAAGCTACACCCAGGAAATCGACTAGAGATTTGGTTAAAGACAACCTTGGCAAGAGTCGTCTTACCGATGCCTCCCATTCCGTGGATTACGATATAACGTATATCAGGAAAACCTTCATCTAACATACGCATGACGTCTTCAACACGATCCTGAATTCCGACTAAATGATCGGGCAGATTTAAGTCTCTTTTATTCAGCTTGATCAAAACTTCGGTAACGATTGATCTAATGAGTTCACCTTGACTGTCGTATTCAATACAAAGGGTCTAGTCAGAAGGATCATAGACAGAAAGTTAACTTATCAATTTCAGGAAATTGTAAATTAAACACGAATCAGCCACGGGGGAAGGGGGGCAAGCCGGGCCGACCTTCGCCCTCCCAGAAGTAAATATATAGGAAAAAAATCAATGAAATATATATCGCTCCTCCACTCCTCCCCAATACAAATACTACTCTCTATTATATAAAAAGTGTCACGCCCCGAACCCCAACGGGTTCGCGACACCCCTTCGATGGCCGTATTGAACGCGACGTCCCAGGACACGCCGCCGATCCAAACGAAACACGTGAAGACAAACGCAAGCAGAAGTAGAAATCAAACAATCCAGACAATAAATAATGACAACATGGTAGTACTTGAAGAAAAACAATAAATCCATAACATTAGCTGAATCACCACAATGCGATAATTACTCAAGCATCAAACTCATTCATCAGAGTAGTATAAGTCAGCCACGTTGCACAACCACCATAATCATGTACATTCACCCAATTTAATCAAACACAATTCGCAAGCGTGGCCGAGCAACTTTCCACGACCCGCGTCAACACGCCTCGGGTCCGTCCTCCGATCAATCCGGGCTCCGTCCCTCACTGGACATTTCACACTTTCTCACGACCCACATAAACACGCCTCAGATCAGCCCTCCGATCAATCCGGGCTCCGTCCCTCACTGGACATTCCACACTTTCTCATGACCCGCGTAAACACGCCTTAGGTCAGCCCTCCGATCAATCCGGGCTCAGTCCCTCACTAGACATTCCACACTTTCTCACGACCCGCGTAAACACACCTCAGGTTAGCCCTTCGATCAATCCGGGCTCCGTCCCTCACTGGACATTTCACACTTTCACACGACCCGCGTAAACACGCCTCAGGTCAGCCCTCCGATCAATCCGGGCTCCGTCCCTCACTGGACATTTCACACTTTCACACGACCCGCGTAAACACGCCTCAGGTCAGCCCTCCGATCAATCCAGGCTTAGTCCCAGGTAACCACGCCTCAGGACATTCCTCATGCACATGCACCATAACACAATTTGCCACTCTAACACGTTGTACAGTTCACATTCAAATCACAAATTCACCACACTAGCCCACCAATCCAACACTCAAGCCGGCCCAATCAAACGTCCATTTCACTCACAAATGCCACGACAATCCGGTCATCACACCCATATAAATCAGCCACTAATTATGCCACATAATCATCACAATTTAATCTACCAATTAACCACATTCACATATTGACCCTAATCCAAACTTAGCCACTAAACCGGTACTAATCATACCCTAAACAAGTCTAAATAATACCCATTATACTAGGTAGGGTTTAGGAAGTCACTTACCTAAATTTGGCCCGGGAAAAATCTGCACGGGCTCGAAATGGCCCGGGTGAACAGTAATGGGCTCGGCACGGGCGAGGGCACGACGGGTGCGCTGGCCGGTAGTTTCGGCACGGCGCTCAGCCACGGCTGGGCACACGGCCCGACGCTCGGCCACAGGCAGGGACAGCAGCTGGTAAGCTGGGCTAGGCGGCCGGGCTAATCGGCCACGGCCTAGGCAAGCTGGCCCGGCTGTCCGGCCACGGCTGGGCAGCGGCCTAGGCTGGCCGGCAAGTTGGATGGGCGGCACAACGGCGGTGGCGGCGGCGATAAGTAGAGGCGATGGCGACGAGTAGCGGCAACGGCGACACGGCGGCGAGCTGATGGGCTGGCGAGCTGGCGGTGACTGTCTTGGCCAATGCACAAGCAGTCCGGCCAAGGCGACGGCGGCGACGGCGGCTTAGGAGGGGGAAGCTGGGTGGTTGCGGCGAGCTACGGCGGTGGGTTGAGCGACGGCGGCGGCGAAGAGCTCGGCCATAACAGGGAGAGGCCGGGGAAGAGAAAAACAGAGGGAGGGGAGGTTGCACGGTGGTCGGGGCGGCACGGCAAGCGGCGGCTTGGCGACATAGAACCGGCTGATGAGTGGCTGAGCAGCACCAAGCGAGCTGCCGGCGCGGTTGCGAGTTGGCGGTCGCATGGGTGACAGGCGACGGTGCGGCTCGGCTAGGGCGACGGTGGAGGCGGTGGTTAGGCTAGGGCGACGGCCGGGTGGCGAGCCGGACGGACGGTGTGACAGCGGTCGGGCGAGCGGCGGCGCGAGGCGGACGGTGAGGGGCGGTCGGTGGTGACTGGTCGGGCGAGCAGAAGCAGACACGGAAGCAAAAGCTGTCGCGAGCGGAGGAAGGCAAAAGGAAGAAGAAGAAGAGAAGAAAAGAAGGAAGAAAAGAGAAGAAGAGAGAGAGAGAGAGAGGAGGACAGTCTGCATGGGCAGACGTCTGACATGCAGGGAGTGGGTGAAAGCGCGGGAAAAGAAAGGTGAAGGGGACGCGACTGTGGGAGACGTGCACGGCAGGAGAGAGAGAGAGAAAAGTTAAATTTTGTTCTCGAATACGATCCAACGGCCACAATTCGATCTCACGAGCTTGATCCAACGGTCCAAAAAATCCCAATTAAAAATAAAGAAAAGACCAACAGACACCAAATAAAACACACTACGAGAGGTCTACTAGTCCAAATTCGCACCCAATCCAAATTTCACTTTTCACTTATCCCGAGTAATATTGACACTGGCCACAATAATATCGACACCGTCCAATTAAATTCGACACGAAACTTCCAGAAATTCGACACCAAAGTTCGGGCTCTAAATAACGGCCAAATTCGATCGAGTGCGATTCTAGCGAAATCTCTAATTTAAAAACAAGAGTGATCAGTTCTAGGCGAGATTTTATTATAAGCGCACCGATGAAATACACGTTTTATAAATCTCAAAAATGGGCTGAAATTCGGAATGTCACAAAAAGTGATCTCAAAATAGTTTCAAGCTCTATTTCTTTTTTTTCGAAATAAAAAAGTCAAATAAAACCCATGTCAATTTACTTAAAATGAATTGCAGTTATATAGAGTATTCAAATGGTCAAAGATGTAGATTGTTAAGAGAAGAATGAAATCTTAAGCTTTATATAAGATCCTCCCTTATCCATAAATTGTAAAAACCAAAATTTTTGGATTATTTTCCTTGAAACATATGCAAAGAATTTGTTTATTTCTTTTGTATTGCTCCCATAGTGTGTGCTTTGTTGTCTTGTTTTGCACGGATTAGAATGCTATTAGCTGGAACAATTATTTTCTGTATCAAACCTACTTAAAATTGATTTAGAAGTTAAGAAATAATATTTTATTATATATCGAAGATGCAAACCCATGCATTATATAGTTTTAGATCTTACCTTATATGTATTAGCAATTCTTTTGTTGTCTTTATTTTTTTGTATTATTTTTCTCGTAAGAAATTGTGATTTTCAATTTGACATTATTTTACATGCCTCGTATGGAAATCTTTGCTGATTAGGTAAAATTTTACATTGATACAGATATATTAATTATATTACAGCAGCCAACATTGGTTGAATATTTCAGTAAAAAGGTTCTTGCTTAAAAATCTCTTTTAAAATTTCAGATAATTAAAATCAAGAGTCACCAAGAGAAAAGTATTTCTCTTGTCCACATACTTATTTATGTTCACCTAGTGTGTAAGTTTATTTACTACTCACGTGTAAGAGAATTTTTTATGACTATATTTCATTATAGACTTTGGCCTTCCCTGGACCTAAATTCTAGCTCCGTCATCGACACAAACTAATTTTCTTTGAAGCAACATGGTCTTGTGATTTCTAATGTGTTGCATTTGGTACGCCGAAATGAATGAAGTGAGATTCACAGAAAAGAATTGATTAGAACGGTGATTCCAATATTTTTTTGTTTGATGAATTGTGGAGTGGGATGGAACTTCTTATATTTGGTTATAAGAAAAAATGTTGGGGGAATGGTGGGAACGTCATTATAAGCATAGACTTTTTGTACGTGAATATTAAAAAAAAAAATTATTCGACGAGTAAAAAAAAATATTGTGGGAGTGATGATCCTGCCAATTAAAAAGAGTTGGTGATCGTTTGAAAGGAGACAATTAAATAAAGAAATGGGAAGGGTGCAAGAAACATGAAAAAAAAGAAAATGCAAAGTAAGGTACGTGTGAATTGAGGATAGTACAACCATACATAGGCCTCCCCTTTAATGCACCAATATACTTATTAGAGTATTAGATTATTCGATGAAATAGATGACATTATCAAATTAGATTAGCTAGATTAGAAAAATTAGATTAGATTTTGAGCTCCGTTTGTTTCGCGGAAAACATTTTCCTCATTTTCCGACATTTAGATTGTTTAGGAAAATAAGTAAATAGAAAATGATTTCCTAGTCAATTAAAAATGTTTTCCTATCAAAACATAAATTCAAGAAAATTTCCTCTTTAAAAAATCCGAAATCATTTTCCAAAATATGACTAGGTATCGGCGCTTGGACTAAAAACTCGGCGCTTGGGCACGGAAACCCCAATACTCGCTCTTAAGCCCATGGCAATGGGATTGAGTCCTCAGCGCTTGGGCCCAGGACGTGAGGCCAGTAATATTGAGGCCAAGCTCATGTCCTTGACAACCATGCCCGGTCCATCAAGGCCAAAAATTTTTTAAAAAATATTCTAATTTTTCTTATTTTTCCTTTTATTTTTTTATGTTTTTTCTTTTTCTATTTCCTTCTTCCTCTAGTAGTTGTTGGGCCTTGGTGACTAGACACAAACAGAGGCTCGCGAGGGCCGACCTCATTGGATCCCGGTGAGCTTGAACCTCACCGGGATATAGCGAGGTCAAGCTCACCTGAGGCCATCAAACTCGCACGAGGCAGATGAGCTTGAGCTTGAGCCTCGCTAGCCTCTAGTTAGGTCGAGCCTTCCCAAGGCTGGCGAGGTTCGAGCTTGTTGGTCTCAGGTGAGGGCCGCCCTCGCCTGTCGCTGATCATCACTAATCGTCGCTAAGGCCCCTCTACCAGTGGAGAAAGAAGGAAAAAGAAAAAAAAAAGAAACGGAAAGAAAACGAAAAAAATAATTAAAAAATACAAAAATTGTCTACGTTAGCATAGCCATGCTACTTAGATGGCCAGCGTCCACGTCAGCAATTTCCTACCAAATGAGATTTTCATTATCAAACGACGGAAAATATTTTCCAATTCATTTTCAGGTCTCAACCAAATATCAAAAAATGATTTACCGGAAAACATTTTTTAGAAACGTCACATTTCCCACGAAACAATAAGAGCCTTAAATTATTATATTTCTCCATCAATAGGCAAGTGAATCATAGAAAAAGAGCTTTTGTGCTTTCTACTATGTATGAAGATTCCGGATCAAACTTGAAATGGAACTTCAAAAAGCCAGACATTAATTCGAATTACTTGCTAGACCATACGTATCGTCGCCATTAGAGAGGTATAATAATAATAAAACCAAATTTGCGGGAGAATTTTAAATTAGATTTAGATGCAATACATCAATATGGACTTGGCTACCATAACGGCACCGTTACAGGAAACTTGTAACGGTGCAAGAAGGACCACGCATTCAGAGCACACACATAAAATCTGTTGGTGGACCGACATCCTTGGGAAAATATGTGGTGGTGACTGCATCGTCACTCTTCAAGGGTAACGGTGCAGTGAGCTTATCAATTTCCCATCAACCTTCTTTTATAAGCCCTATTTCTTGAAGATGTTCGAAAGTCAACTTTCTCTCCAAATTTCATACTCAGCACACGTAGATATGACAAGTAGAGTAATAAACTTTAGTTTATTAGGTGACTGACGATTTTACTGATATTGGGAGTGATTATTTTCTTGTAATTTCTTTCTTGGGATTTGAAATGTGAAACACATTAGTCAAAGCAAGCAACCATTATAATTGTATGAAACTAAATCACATGTCACGTAAAGAGTTAATGAAAATACATTGGTTGGATTGAGCAATGGTGTGGTATGTAATGCAATTGCATATCGAACTCACTAGTAACCGAGCCAATTCGAGTTAAATATAATTTACTACCCAACTATCACTCAATAAGAACAAGAAAAAAAAGAATTTGCTAATTCAATCTTTTAAAAGGTTTTAAACTACTGAGCTAATTTAGGAGGCCTCCAGTAGTAAAAGAGATAGGTCTGTGCGAAATGATCCTGCACTTGAATTGTTTTATGCTATTTTCCAAACCGGCGCTTGGCCCCATTCTTTAGCTTAACATAAATAAACTGGAAATCTCTAAACTAGACCTTTTTCCCCCCTTCGAAAGTGTAATGTGTACCATTGTTGCAGCGGAAATTCCATCAACGCACGCGCGCAACGAATGTGTAAACTATATAACAACTACTAAGTTCTGAAATAATTCGACATGCACCAGTATCATCTTCACGTTTTATTCCAAGTCAGTCGCAACACGACATGATAAACACCCTTTGTACCTGAATGGCACCATTGAAGCGAAGAGACACTGATTAGTAGAATACGTACATTAATATAGAGCATAAGCCATGCAATATCCTAATAATTCCACGCCAGCTTTGTTCTTGTTGTAATATCCCACGTTGCTTGACAATGAAATTTGTGGTCTCCCTTCACTTATTAGCTTAAGCTTTTGGGTTGGATTTTGTACCATAATGTCAAAGCCAGGAACTATCTTTTTCACGTATGTACGTCCACGTGCTGCTCGTAATCCAGCTTGCACGTGAGAGGAGAGTCTTCTAATATTATATACTTGTGGTCTTCCTAGAGCTAGCAGCGATATACTTTCCCATCAGAAAAATATTATTTTTTTGGAAAATCTTATAAATATCAATCATATTTATTTGTTTATGCGAGCAACGGAAGGAAAAAAGTTGTCATAAATGACCAAATTTGATGAGGGGAAAATAACACAAATAGTCCTTCAACTTTGGTCCAATGTGCAACGTGATCCCTAAACTTTTAATTTGCTCAATGTGGTCCTTGAACTTTTTATTCATGTTCAATATAGTCCTTGGACTATATGAAACTATTCAATATTGCCCCTGAACTTGAATTGATGGAAGAATAACATTAAATATTTTCATATAGTTTAGGGACTAACTTAAACATGTACCAAAAGTCTATAGACTGCATTGAATAATTTAAAAGTTCAGGGATGACATTACACATTGCACTAAAGTTCAGGAGCCACAATGAACAAATTAAAAGTTCAGGAAGAATATTGCACATCGGATCAAATTTTACGGACTATTTGTATTATTATCTCTTTGAAAAGAGACGATCAAATTGACTTGAGTTAGAACTTTGAACATGTCATGGTATCTGGAAGCCACCAGACATGTAATTCATCCGCAAGTGTCAGAAAGAACGCTCGAGACATGTGACCACACACTGAGAAAAGCATAGTGGACATTCAAAGTTCAAATTTTAGGTATTTTTCTTTGCCAATGTAGCTCTGACAATTCGCCCAATAGTCAGGTTGAATTTTGAGAGAGCTGTCCCTATTTCCATGGCCGCATTCATAGAGATATTCAACTTCTGTATAGTACACCTTGAATAACATGGTATTTCAATTAGACCTCGAAATTTAATCAAAGAACGTGTTTTGAGAAAATAAAACTCTGCCTTCTCTGTTCCTTAGTGTCACGCCCCGAACCCTAACGGGCTCGCGACACCCCTACGATGGTCATATCAAACGCAATGTCCCAGGATGCGTCGCCGACTCAAACGAAATACCCACATGAATACGCAAGCGGAAGCGAAATAAAACAATTCAGACAATAAACAATGACGAAGGGATAGTAATAGCACAAAACAATAATTCCATAATAATAGAAACCGGTCACTTACAACATTCGGTCAGGCAATCGGACAATAGGCTCCTAGGGTTAACATCCACCATAATCATCAAAAAGGGGCAGGCGGTAGGGTAGGCTAGTTAGCTGCACAAAAAGAGCTCTACCAAAAAACTTCTAAGCCCAGCACTCGAGCGCTCCTACGGCACCCAATCTGAATCAAACCCTGAAGACTCCGACTCCGAGTTAGAGTTGATCTCGATCGGCTCCTCCTCGTTACCCAGCTCCTCCTCGGGCTCAGGCTCTATGGGCTCTGGCACGGGTTCGGGCTCTTCTTCAGGTTCGGACTCCTCAAATTTCTCTACGAGCTCGAGATCTGCAGGCACTGCAGGTTCAGGTACGGGCTCGGGTTCGTGACCAGGGTTCTCCGAGGGATCTTCAGGGTCCAAAATCTCACCATCGGGAGCATACACGTCCCCGGGCTCCCAATCTACGGCATCCTCATTCCCGTGCTGTTGACCCTCAAAACCCCGGATTGGGCAGATTAACTCTAACACGTCCCGATAAAACCAGGCCAAATATGTGTGACGCTGCAATTCCTCTAAGACCTCATCTACCCATACTATAGTGAGGTGCCTAATGTAAGTCTGATTTGGACCTACTGAATACTCGGTCTCCTCATGTACCGTATGCATAGGGACCCCAAAACGCCAAGGTGGCGGCATGATCAAGGTCGGGGTCGGGGATCTAAAATGATTTGCACTATGGCAATGAGAATAAATCTCAATAAGCAGACAACCTAAACCCCACCAGGCCAATGCGTACCCAGACGAGTCCCAACATACACTCTAGTAATCGACATCATAAAATTCTCATGCATACTCACATCACCTCAAATCACACGCCAACCCTGCGCATTAGTCAAATCACCATAATGTAATAATAGCTCAATAACATAACGTAAACACTCGAGCGCCATAATCAAGTACATTCACTCAATTCAACCAAACACATTTCACATGCGTGTCCAACCAACTAACCACGACCCACGTCAACACGCCTCAGGTCCAGCCCTCCGATCAATCCGGGCTCAGTCCCGCGTAACCACGCCTCAGGACATTTCTCTTGACCCGCGTAACCACGCCTTAGGTCATTTCTTGCCTTTCTAGCTACACTCGCGTAACCACGCCTCAGGTTGGCAGCCCTCTGATCCATCCGAGCTTAGTCCAGCGTAACCACGCCTCAGGACATTTCTCTCGACCCACGTAATCACGTCTCAGGTTGGCAACCCTCCGATCAATCTGGGCTTAGTCTCGCGTAATCACGCCTCAGGACATTTCCTTATACACATACGCCACAACACAATTCGCCAATACCAATCTAGTACGTCACATTATTCAAACTCAAATCATGCTCATCACATTAGCCCAACAACCCGACCTTATAGCCGGTCACATTCAAACACCAATTTCACCCACAAACGCCAATACAATTCAATCATCGAACCCATCTCAATCGAACACTAATTTATCCACAAAATCATCACCACAATAAGCCATAAACCAATCACAATCAATTAACTAATCCCCACCTAACTTAGTCACTAAACCAACACTAATTACCCCTAAACAAGTCTACTAATATCCAAAGTACTAAGTAGGGATTAGCGAGTCACTTACCTAAGTTTTGGCCTAAGGAAAACCGGCAAGGGGCCAAAATGGCCCGGTGGAGCAGTGGCGGGCTCGGCGCGGCACGAGCGCAACGGGCACGGTGGCCGGCCATGGCTCGGCACAGCCCTCAGCCACGGTCGAGTGAGCAGCCTAGGCGGACAGGCGATGGCTGGGCACGACGGCGAGCAGCTGGGCAACGACGGGCAAGCGATTGGGCAGCGATGGGCGAGCGGCTGGGCTGTTCGGCCACGGTCGGGACAGCGGCCAGGCGCGCAGGCGACGGGCTCGGCCACGGTCGGGACAGTCTGGCCACGGCAGGGATGGCCAGGCGTGCTTGACCACGGCTCGGGTAGGCAGTCGGCGAGCGGCCAGGCGAGCTGGGCGAGCGGTTGTGCTGGCTGGTGAGCGAGCCGGCCGGTTGGCTAGGCAGCACGGCTGCAGCAACGAGCGACGACGGTGGCAATGGGCTCGGCTAGGCGAGCAGGAGAGCAGCCAGTGAACTGGGCTGCACGGCAAGAGCGAAGGTGGTGGGGACGGGCAGCCCGGGCGGCGATGGGCAAAAGGGGAGCTGGGGTGTGGTGGCGAAGCCGGCGGCGGTCGGGGGTGGCACGGTGGCATCGCAGGTGGCTGGGCAAGTCCGGACGGGCTAGCTAGCGGCTTGGTAGCGCCGGTCCGTGGTGGACGCAACGGCGAGCTTGCTGCTCGCATGCAAAGGGGAGGGGCAATCGGCCTAGGGGTGAAGGGCTAGATGGACGGCGGCCCTGGCGACTGGGCATGCGGCGGCACAAGGCGGACGGCCGGCAAGCAGTGGCTGGGATAGACGGCGGTTGGGTGGAGGGGAGCGGGGCAGCGGCGAAGGGGAAGAAGAAGAAAGAAGAAGAAGGAAGAAAGAAGAAGAAGAAAGAAAAAAAGAAAAGGGAGGAGAGAGAGAGGTCTGCATGGGGAATGGGGAGAGAGAGAGAGAGAAAAGGCAACCTATCGAATGCGATCCAACGGCCCATGCTCAAACCCGAAATCGATCCGACGGTCCACGAAAAATCCTAATTATAAATTAGGATTAGGCCACAAGACACTGAATAAAATAAACTCAAAGGAAGGTCTACTGGTCAAAATCCGCACCCGGTCCAAATTTCACTTTTCATCATTTCCGGACAATATTGACGCTGACCACAATAATATCGACACCATCTAATTAAATTCGTCACGAAACTCCAAGAAATTCGACACCAAAGTTCGAGCTCTAATTAACGGCCAAATTCGATCGAGTGCGATTTTAGCGAAATCTCTAATTTAAAAATAACCCGAGAGTGATCAGTTCTGGGCGAGATTTAACTATAAGCGCACCGACGAAATACACGTTTTATAAATCTCAAAAATGGGTCGAAATTCGGAATGTCACACTTAGTCTACCTTCCTATCCAACATATGATGCTATAGCCTATAAATACCCATCAATAAGGTTTTTTGACACTCACAGAAAAGCCTCTACCATCTAGTATTCTTCATCTATATTTGCTCAGTCACCTAAATCAAGAAAGCAGCGAAAAAGAAATGTCTCCTCATTTCATCTATCCCATCTTCTTCCCCTTCTCAAGAAACAAGCCACGTTGCTGAACGCCGATCAGCAAATTTTCATCCCGGCAAATGGGGTGATTATTTTCTCAAATATTCTTCTGACTACGACTCGATGGCAGCATTTAAGTTGTTCTTTTCTTGGATTATATTCTGGAAAGTTTTCGATCGTTGTGTTTTCTGAAAACTAAGGGCATAGAACATAATAATCTGGAATGATTGGGCACCATCCCACAGCATTTGATAAAGAAAAATAAAAGAAGTTCTAGTTGATTTGAAACTCCATGCATGTGTTGGTACATGCATGACTCGAAATTTCTATGTGAACCTTGTGGCATGCACATATGACTTAACAAATGTAGAAAGGATTTCTTCACTATTAATAAAACTAGTCAAGATGGAATAATTTTTAGGTAATTTCAATTCATATTTATCGTGGTCAATTGGGTCATAAGCAACCTAATGTATATCTTGCATTCTTACTAAATTTTTGTCATTTTTCGCTAATTATTTTTTGAACTTTCAATTTTATATTTATTGCAGAGTTCTCATGCCATAGAAGTGGATCGAATCGAGAGATTGAAAGGAGAAGCGAGGAAGATGTTGACAGATGCTATGAATAAGCCTTCATAGAATTTAAAATTGATAGATCAAATCCAACGCTTAGGAATTGCCTACCATCTTGAAATTGAGATAGATGAGCAGCTGGAACAAATCCATAGAAGCTATTTCAGATTTCACTACGGCGATGATGACGACCTGCACACGGTCGCTCTTCTCATTCGATTGTTGCGGCAACAAGGTTACACAATTTCAAGTGGTATGTGACATTTTGAAATCCGACCCACTTGAGATTTATGAAATGGATGGTTTTTTGAACGTACTTGTAGTCAGATCTCGCCCGGAATTGATCACTTCGGGACTACTAACCATTAGGGAAAGGCTAATTAGGGATTTAAACTCGATCATGAACCGACCTTCGACCATGAAAATTGTCGAGGTGACATTTTGAGCCAATGTAGGCCGATCCAAGGATAGCTAGGGATCAGTTCGCCATTGTCATACGAGTGAATAGCGGGTAATTCCACTTGACAATGAAATGAATTGACGAATGACCCTAAACCTATACCAAGCGATCGTGCCCGTCGGAACTAGCGATCGATCCTCGCGATTAAGTGACAACCGATGTCGTCACGACCCGAGTGAACTTGAACGTGGCTTGATTTAGTATCGGCCACTGGTCAATAATGCGAATTTCCCAAAAAGCCCCCCCGTTAGTATGAGATATGCGCAAGTTACGTTATATAGAACTTGGTCATTAATTGGAGACCAAGTTGGGCATTGAAAATTTGGAAAGTCACGACAGATCATTTGGACGACGTTGCTACTAGCCTGATCAATCTTAGAATTATCCGAATCCTTCAGAAAAATCAAATTTCAGCGAGAAATGGAAAATGACCAATGTAATTTGGGAAGGGCATTTTGGTAATTTCATCCTAGCCTTAGAATTAGAGATTTTTGGACAATTTTGCCCTTGGACTTTTTGAGAAATTCCCAAATTACCCTTGGATATTTTGGAAAAGATTCGATCCGGGCCGTCGATCTCAGGATAAGAATGAATCTCGGCCGTTGATTGGATTTGTGAGAGGGGCATGATGGTCATTTGGCCCCTCAATTATTGCCTTGGACTATTTAGTCCAACTCTCTCTCTTCTCTCCTCATTCTCTCTCTCATCTCTCTCGGCTCACTCCCTCTCTTCCCCCTCCCGATCGATCGCCCCTCCCCCTTGCCGCGCCGCCGCTCGCCGGCCACTGTCCGTCGTGCCACCGCCGTTCCGCCACCGAGCCGCACCACCACCCTCATGCCGTCCTTCTCTCTCTCTCTCTCTCTCTCTCTCTCTCTCTCTCTACTCTCCCGTGGCCGTGAACCGAGGCTAAGAAGGCCGCCGTCCAGCCAACCGCTGCCGTGTGCTGCCGTGAGCCCGCCAATCATCCGCCCCCTTCCCACTCTAGCCAAGCCAGTTTAGAGTTCGGGTGAGTCACCCCCTAAACCCTATTTAGGATATCGGGTATTAACGGACTCGTTTAGACGCGGTTTAGGGTAGTTTAGGGGTTGATTAGGGTGTTGATCGTGGTTGTTGGTGGCTGATCATGGCTGTTAGTGGCTGTTGCATGCTGGATTAGACATCTGGGAATGAGTTTTGTGGGTTGGAGATCCATGGGTGTTGGCTAGAACTTGAATCTTGGTTGTTAGTTCAAAATTCGGATTCGTGACTATTGTACCCATCTGATTTTCTATTTTTGTGGAGAATTTTTTGGACCGAATTTGAGGAATTTTTCTTCATGAAATTTGCTCCCAACATCTTGAAGTATAACATATTTTAAATTTGGAATTTTTGGAGGCCATTTGGGTCGCACGAAAACCCATTTTCAGACCGTCTTAAAACTGCCCGGAACACTGTTCATCCCAACCTTCTTGTCTTGCCAAATTTTTATAAAATTTTCCAGATCTATTTTCCATAAACTTCCTTGACAAAAGTTGTTGAAGACTTTCTTTTCTATGACATATAAAAATTTCAAATCTTTTCAAAGTGATTTGGGTGTTGAAAGAAATGTATTTTGAGGACAAAACAGTCTGTTAGAGCGAACTGATTTTGGTCTGATTTCGAGGGACAAAAAGGCATGGTTGGAGATTGAACCGGATTTTGTGTTCTTCATAAGAAATGTTTAACAAGATGTTTTTTATAATATATCCAAAATTTAGAATTTTTGGAGTTCGTTTACTATTTATTTTGATGGGATTTCGGTCATTGTGGAAACTGCCCAGATTTACCCTGATTCTATGGATGTTCATTTTTATGAACGGAATGGTGGGAGTGTCGGGGTTGAATAGTTGCTGCCCTCGTGGCTGGAATTGTGGTGTTTGATATGGCTTGAAATGAGTGTGGAAAGGCTGAATTTGTGTTCATTATGTGGCTGTGATTGTGGGCCCGTTAGTGATCTTGTGTGTTTGTTGGATCGTGTTTTGGTTGATTGAAATATGAGTCGTTATGTGCACGCTTGAGCTAAATTGGTTTTAATTGTCAATTGGCCGTGTTGGATGCTTATTGAGCATGAAAAATGTGTGTGAATTGGTGCGTGCACGGGCCATGTGTGATTGGCCAATTTATTGGCAAGTGGATGTTGAGCATGTGAACGAGCGAGAATTCGTGTGTGGCACGGTATGTGTGGTTGCGGAAATCCCTGAGGCGGTACCATTACGCGAGGAATTGATCCGTCCTAAGGCGGTACGACTACGCGGGACGATGCCCGGTATTACTGAAGGACGGCCAACTTGAGGCGGTACCATTACACGGGTTGTGTCGTAGGTGGTGGGTGTTGAGCCTGAGGCGGTACCACTATGTGGGCAAGATACACGGCTTGAGGCGGTACCATTTCGTGGGCCCTAAAGTGTTGTTTTGAGTTAGTCGCAGTGAACCTGAGGCGGTACTACTACGTGGGTCACTGGCAAGATGAGTATGAGTTAGTCGCAGTAAATCTGAGGCAGTACTACTATGCGGGTCACTGGCGAGATGAGTATGAGTTAGTCGCAGTGAACCTGAGGCGGTACCATTACGCGGGTCACTGGCGAGTTGAGTGGAAAGAATGTGATGAGGCCGGAACGAATGCATGAACTGTAATTAGAACGTGCATGTGATTGGAAATGGTGCTGTTGTGGCTAACGTGCAGGTTGCACGCTGGAAAGGCCCGAGTAAGTATTAATTGTGTGCCTACTATGTGATGGCTGAATGTGGTTGTGTTTGTGGTTGTTTGGAGGTACGTGATAGCCTAGGTGGGGTTTAGGGTGTGTGCTTATTGAGATGTGATCTCATGGTTGTTTCAACCAACAATTTCAGAACCCCGGCCTGAGCAATGAATCTTCCTCCGCCTCCGCAGTGTTTTGGGATACCGATGCACACCGACCATAACGTGGTAGAGTACCCAACAGACGAGCAAGAGGTTCAGAGGGATTCAGAGTTCTGAGGAGTCGGACTCGGAGTGGATGCCATCTAGAGGGCGTAGGGGTTAGTTTTAGGGGTTGAGTAAAGGATTTTGAAGGGTACCATTTTTGGAGATAGGGTATACTAAGCTACTGATCAATTTTTGGATATCGGGGGTATATGGTGCGGAAGTTCGATGTGCATGTAAATTATGTGGATTGTATATGGTGGATAATGTATAAGTTTGAATCAGTAATTGATGTATATTCTCCTATTCACCCCAGTTATTATTGTCCGGGTATTTGTGGCTTTCGCTGATTGATATAAATCTCTGATCAAGTTATTTGGGTCGGCGATACCCTGGGACGTCGCATTATTCAACCAGAGAAGTGTGTCGCGTGCTCGATGGGGTTCGGGGCGTGACATAGTATGTAATGTTCTAATTCTCATTGATTGATAAGTTGGTGAAATTATATTGCAGACACTAGTTGATAGTCCATTTGATTGATTAGAGTGAACGCATAATTTCACTAACATGTTTAGTTCACTCTAGTTTTGATTTGTTTATTAGTTGACATATTCTCTATACGATTCTCTTATCCTGAGTTCTTCAAAATTTCTTGCTTTGAAAGGTGAATAGTCCTTTCTTCTAATTCCTTGGTTTAGTACAACATTTTCCAATCGATTCCAGTTGATCTAGATATTGAACATGAATTTTTCATAGGATCTCATGATAGCATCTTCTCCCACATTTCGTTTGGTCATTTAGAAATCTTTAACAAGTTCAAGGACAGTAAAGGGAATTTCAGCAAATCACTCATTGCCGGCGTGCAGGGACTACTAAGTCTATTTGAAGCTTGCCATCTAGGGTTTCCTGGCAATGACAAATTGAATGATGCATTTGCTTTTACTATAACTCACCTTGAATCAATTGATAAAGGAAAAGCGAGCCCTAATCTCAAAAAACAAGTTAGACATGCCCTAAACCAACCAATCCATGAGGGAATACCAAGGCTAGAGGTGAGGCGTTACATTCCACTTTACCAAGAGGAGCCTTCGCATAATGACGTCCTGCTATCCTTGGCTAAACTCGATTTCAACTCATTGCAAGAGCAACACTAGAAGGAACTTGGCAACCTTACAAGATTTGCTTCATGATAGCATGTCTGAAGTAGCTAGATGTTCTAAGAACACCAAATCGTCATAGATTGATTCATCCAATTACAATTTATCCGGAGCTAAATATCATTTGTAAAAGTGACAAGGAGTGTTAATCTCTTTGGCTCATCGGCCTAAAATACTTTCTATAATTCTATCAATGATGTATTTGCCTTAAATAGGATATGTTGGTATAATATAGGTGGTGGAAGGATTCAGATGTAGAAAGGAAGTTCCCATTTGCCAGAGATAGGCTTGTGGAGATGTATCTCTGGATGTCAGGAGTTTATTTCGAGCCTGAGTATGAAGCCGCTAGGGAAATACTAACTAAAGTGGCCTATGTGGTTTCCATTATCGAGACATCTATGATGTCTATGGCACATCGGAAGAATTGGAACTCGTCATGAAAGGAATTGAAAGGTACCGTTCACACTCGGATGCTTTTCTCAGCTTACCAATATTCTAAACTTACTTATTCTGACTTGATCAACTGTTAATTAGGGTAAAGTGTGATATCTTCTGAACTTGACCTGAGGTGGGACGTCGATGCCAAAGATGGATTGCCAGGGTATATGCAAGTGTGTTACAAGATACTTTTTGATTTGTATGATGAAATTGGCTATGAGGTGACTAGAAAAGGATGATCATCCTGGCTCTTCTATGCAAAAGAAGCAGTAAACCATTCGAGATTACATCGATCAAATGCAATTTTTACTCTGTCCACTAGCAACAGAATATCAGGCTTTTGGATAAAGATGAGAGACTGTCGTATATTTAAGTCCACCAAGCACATTAAAGTTCGAATAATGACGTAGCTTTATGTTTGAGAATGAATCCTTAGATGAAAAACCAAGTGAGAGCATACTTCGCCGAAGCCAAATGGTTCCACCAAAACCATGTACCGACAATGGAGGAGTACATGCCCCTTGCATTAGCAACCTTTGCTGTTGAATTGCTATTGGTGACGTTGTTGCTAGGAATGGGAGATATCGTAACAAAAGGTGCTTTTGACTGGTTGTTATTCGGCGACCCCAAGATGGTGGAGGTTGTGAAATTAGTCGGTCGGCTCATGGGTGACAATGCCGGACACAAGGTATATAAAAGCTATACCAATGAACAACATTAATTTTATCTAAATTTTGTCTAATTGATTTTATCTACGGTTTGAGCAAGAGAGAGGTCATGGGGCATCTTCAGTGGAGTGTTTCATGAAACAGTACGGAGTTATGGAGGAAGAGGCTAAGGAGGAGCTCCATAAACAAGTGGCCGATGGGTGGACGGACATTAACGAAGAGATGCACCGTCCGATCATCATCCTTGGGCAACTCCTCAAGCGAATTCTCAATTTTACACGATCCATGCATGTGGTGTATAAAGAGGAGATAGACCTCTACACTCATGCTGGAACCAAGTTAAAAGAGCATGTCAAATTCTCTGCACGTCGACCCATTGCCAGTGTGATGGTTTGGAAGAACAAGTTTCTCTGGCCTGAGAGCCCCCTTTTATCTGTGGATTTCGAATGAAATAAATTAAGGAGTCTGTATGTGAGATTGGAATATATTAATGTTGTATACAACGATGGGTTCAGTTTCTTGATCAATATCTAACATATTTTATTTTGACATATGCTTATGATAGTCTTAGTACACCGTGACCATCACAAATTACAATATCCAACAGAAATCACTTCATTTATGGGTTGCATACCTCATCTTGCGATCGTTCAATCACTATACCCATGTGATATAAACTCTAACCTACTTTGCATAGTCTTGATCATGTTATAATTATCCATATCATCTTCAATGTAACTAAACAATCGTGTCTTATCTCAAAAAAATCCGTCCCCTATCATACCATACTTTTCACAAGGAGGCTCCCTAATCCTACGTTATGTTCTAGATAAATGGAGGAATCTATGCTCTACGTAACCTAGGCTTAGAGTTTGATGAAAATAGAGTTGAAAAAAGAAACATGTATTTGGGATTTGATGAAAAATGTGCGCCATAAAAAAGCAAGTTGTGTTTCAAATACGTGATCAAACCAAACCCTAATAGATTGTAATTAGATTGTTGGTTTTGGTTGGACGAGTATAGGGTCCCATGCGAAAAATAACTATAGTTTTGAGCAAACATCCAAACTCGACTGATTATATTGCTAAATTATCTTTTCAATAAAACACAAATTATCAGGAAAATTTCATCTTATTCTTAACTAAACAAAAAAACAAACAAAAGTATAGAGAGATTTTATTGTCTATTAAAAAATGAAACTGAATTGAACCTAAACGCTACCTTTTCTACTAGATTATGAAGACATATTACAATGATTATTCTTCAAAAATGCTTGTTCTAAACATTTTGTTTGGTACGACAAGTAATGAAGAAAATATTATGTACAATTGTGATACGCCACTTTACGATATCTTATTTAGTGAGAGACACGTGTCACTGAACGGGCGAGGCGACTTGGTGTGGTGTTAAAAGAGAGTAAACAGTAAGAGAGAGGGAGAGATAGTTCGCAGGTGAGAGAGAGAAAAGGAAAAAGTGAAAAAAAAGAGAGAGAAACAGATAGAGAGTAAAAAGTTTTCTTTCTCCTTGTGGATAGCTTTCTTCCTCCAGATTAATAGCTGCTCCGCCTCTCGCTGTGTCGTTTGTTGTGTTCCATCAAGCTCCATGATCCACGCTTAGCACCGCTCCAGCAACTAGCGAGCTCCGGACGTCCTCGACGAGTCCTTTTTGCAGCAGCTCAGCAACACTGGAGTTGCAGCCCCACGGAGTGATTCTCGACGAACACCGGTCCATTGGCGCTTCATTCATTGTTCAGCTCGTGCCCATGTTCCACCACCAGTTCCCCTACCGCAACACAAACTTGAGGAAGGTTTTAGAGAGAGGGTGAAGGAGAGATGAGCGCAGATTTGTAAATATTAAATGGAGGCGGAGGCGTGGTTTGTCAGACGAGAGAGAGAGCAGAGCTAGGTCGTGAGTCGGGAGGGAGAGAGCATAGCGTTGTCGCATGAATCGGGAGGGAGGGAGAGAGCATAGTGGAGTCGTGAAGAGAGAAGGGACAGGGGAGAGAGACTTGAGAAATTTCTAACAGGTGACGCCATTAAGTGTCATGTGTCACTTACTGAATGGACTATTATAAAAATGAGGTGGCACCACAGTTGTACAGGATGACACGTCGGAAATAACTCTCTTGCTATTTGGAAATAGAGTTAATATCACGAAAAATCCCAAACTGGTATACATGTAATAAATTTACTCCAAACTAATTTTTTGACCATAAAAAAACTCCAAACTGGTACACCTAGAATAAATTTACCCATCATTGATTTTTGTTAAATTTTACGGTCAAATTGCTTAGTTAAATAACACATAACAGTTGACAGATGTATCAGTTTGGAGTTTATGCTCCGTTTGTCACAGATGTACAAGTTTATGATTTTTTTTTGTATTAATCCAATTTAATGGAAGGTAAATTTGTCACAAATGCACCAATTTGAGATTTTTGGTTGTTCAAAAATTATTTTTGGATAAATTTGTCACATGTATACCATTTTTGAATTTTTGGTGATCAAAAAATTAGTTTTGGGTAAATTTATCACGGATGTACCAATTTGAGATTTTTCATAATATTAACCATTTTAAATATATTCTGACATAAACAATCATCATGATTCTTTTGTGAGAAGAAGATAAATGTGATGGCTTGAAAAGGATCGGTACTCAATTTGCTGTGGATGCTTCCATCTTCCCTGCAATGGAGTTTTCGTTGCTTCCATCATCATCACTCACATCGCACTCGATGAAGTCTCCTTTGACTTTCAAGAAATTTCACTCAGCTACTTTTATTTTCGATATTCTTTAATACCCTCACTATTAGTTTAATGGAAAGGTAAGTTGCCTCTCCATTTCCAATTATTAATCCATCTAATCAAAACGATATCATTTTGAAAGTTTCTCTTGCTTTTTTTTGTTGCTAAAATTTGAAAGTTTCTCTATGGCATGACTTTACGGGCTATAATACTTGAAGTACAAACATATACTTGATATGATTGCCAAATCAAGAGAGAAATGTCATCTTAGTGTATATAGAAAATCGAGTTTTCTCTATGGCATATGTGAGTCGCGTTAGAACAGTTAATGTTGAGAATTCTAAATTTATCAGGTACACGGATAGACACCATGCCAAGCGCAGTTAACATGGTTTCTCTCCTCCAAAAACTGGACTTAAGTAGATGTCATGAGATTCAAGAGTTACTGGAGCTTCCTACAAGCTTATCAATATGTTGGTGTGATGGAATCATTGCAGTACTAATCAATCGAGGATAGCCATTCTGCAGAAAGGTTAGGTGCTAAAGTAAAGTCCCCAAAGAATCAGAGTCTTTGAGTAAGTCAACCTTCTGTGGGAAGCGAGTGCCCATTCTATCAACCGCCATAAAGAGGCTAAGACTTAAATCCCTCTGAAGAATTTCACGACTATTTTCTATATTTCGATCTACTGTTATATGTTACAAAGACTGAAAAAGTACATATTGAACTTAATCACACCTATTTTTGCAGGTTGAGATGAACTTGCTCCGCCAAGAACCTTCTCTGACAGGTTCAGGACATGCTTAGTGAGAATATGTGTCTGCAACGGCGAGCTTTCCTAGCTTTTAAGCTGAAATTATTTGTAGTTCGAAACAGAAAAGCATGTCACGCCCCGACCGTCGAGCGCACTAACATCCCCCCGATGGTCATGTAATGGCAACGCCTCAGGACGCGTCGCCAACCCAAATAAATAACATTGATCAAACGAACGCATGCGGAAGCGAACTTGAAAACCCCAATAACAATCAATAAAACGGGATAGTAAGAAAAACACTTTGACAAGAAAACAAAGAAAGCCATTTTATAAACACATCGTTAACCTTAGGAAGATACAATATACAAGCTTATCACAAGGCCACTTCCTAAAAGACCACACATAAACAAAAAGGGATTTGGTGGTTGGGTTAACCTAGCTTCACTATCAAAAGGGGGCGATAAAAAAGGTGGGATATCCAAACCCATCATCAAGCCCAGTGATACCCAGGAGGCATCTCCGGATCAGATTCCTCTTCGTCCGGATCCGTCACTGTTCCGTCCGGCGAGTCTAAGTCCATGGGGTCCCACACTTCTTCCCCTACACCTCTATTCGGTAGTCCATCAAAACCCCTAATGGGTTTGAACAACCTATCTCCGTCCCTAAGGAACCACGCGATGAACTCATGTGGCTTCTACATCGCCAAACCTTCATCCACCCAGACAGTGGTCGCGTGCTTCTGATACGCCCTATTCGACCCCACTGGATACGTAGTTATAATTGTGCCCATGTCCATGGGCACCCCAAAACGAGTGGGCGGACGGTTCATCGTCAGGGGTCTGAAAGTAGTTAACAAACAACAATGAGATATACACAGCAAGTTAATGACTTAAGTCCTGATTAGGAACTCAACTCCTCTCGGATATTCCTAAGACATTCAACGATACATAGGTGGTAGGCAACTCAACACAGCACACACAAACATGCCATCACACAATCGTAAGCAACCTACCTTGCATTGGCACACGCCCTGCATATTATAAACCACCATAATAATGCAATAAGCATATAACATAACCAGAACACATAGCAACTTTCTTGTGCACAATACACTCATGCATGTTCCAATTATCACAGCCACTCAGGGCACGCATGTCTTCTCACACTGGTCTTCCGGCTCAACCAGGTATTTATCAGTCTATTGATCTATCACAGCCGATCAAGGCATGCCCATCCTTGTACGAGGGTCTTCCGGCTCAACCAGGTATTTATCAGTCTATTGATTTATCATGGCCGATCAAGGTATGCCCGTCCTTGTACGTGAGTCTTCCGGCTTAACCTGGTATTTATCACGGCCACTCAGGGCACGCTCGTCCTTGTAGGGGGTCTTCCGGCTTAACCGGGTATTTCCATTATGGTCACTCAAGGCACGCCCGTACTCCAAACAAAGGTCTTCCGGCTGCACCGGGTAATTATCATAGCCATTCAAGGTACGCCTGTACTTGCATGGGGGTAACGGTTTCTCAATATATGATCACGCAAGCATTTCAACCACTCAAGCCAATTTCATTTTTCCTCATTCAACCCATACAAACGTGGTTGTGCTCAAATAATAAAATATTGCAACTTTCATGCTAAAAATGCAGTAGTAAATTCACACGTGATCACATACATACAATTAAACCGTCAAACTTTACATGCTTCCCTTTTTAAACATCCTTGCCCTATTTAACTTATAAAACTTGACATATAGACCCGTCACCTCGGGGTTTACTATTTATATGTCCACGAAAACCCTTCTAAAAATTTAAATAACAAGGTTTCACATAGGGAAATCATTATTTAGGGCAAGATGGACAATAAACAGCATGAAACAGACATAATTCAACATTTTAATTAAGTAGAAAACAATCATATAAAATGCACTTATCGCCCTAATTGCAATAACTTATCAACCAATTAGTGATAGCTTAT